ATAAATGAATATTTTCATGTGGATTACTGGAAATTATCAAGTACTCTGATGTGCTTGATTTACATAGTTTTTAATTTCAAATCAAATATTGTTGTTTACATTCAAAAGCTTTATACTTTATACTTAGTTGAGGAGTAAAATGATTCAGGCAAGTCCGAATCACTGTGATTCAGCCATCTTCAAATGTTTTCATAATTTAAACCCTGACCTCTATTATTTGGTGTGGGGAGACTTACTAGGTCAGAGTTATGCCTTTCAGCATATGATTAAAACACGCACTTTGTCCATGTGTGTCCATGGATTTTGTAATACAATCCTTTAGCAATCTGGCAACATTTCTGGCTTTGTTAGCTGGGGCATTGCTTAGGAAAATTCCTGTGCAATACTGTTGTGGTTTGATCCAACCCCCTTTGGAAACAATAGAAAGGCTTCCAAGAGCTTAAGCCATGGACAAATGAGGTTTATGCAAAGGCTGAGCCCTAGCAGGTGAAGCAGGAGGCAGACACTGGTGGCAAATTGCAGCGTGGCAGATGCCAACAGGCTCACAAGCTCATCTCTGTTGTGTCCTGGAACCTGCTTTTAATTCCTACAAGGGATGGGGTAGGAAATGTCCCAGTTTCAGATGGGCTAACATTGTTACACATTGCTTTCAATTTAGTAATAATTTCTTTATTTAGTAAAAATCGTGCAATCACAGAATGTTCAGGGGTTGGAATGGACCTTAAAGATCACCTAATCCCCACCTCCCTGCCATGGGCAGGGACACCTCCCACTAGACCAGGTTGCTCAGACCCCCATCCAACCTGGCTTTGAACACTGACAGAGTTGGGGCAGCCACAGCCTCCCTGGGAACCTGTTCCAGTGTCTCACCACCCTCATAGTGAAAAATTTCTTCTTGATGTCTATCCTAAATTTTTCCTCTTTTAATTTGTACCCATTACTCCTTGTCCTATCACTACAGCTCTTGATGAAAAAATCAAGGCAGCTTGAAGTTTCCAGTTGTCCTTGTATCTGTGGCTTCTGTGATAATGCATGAGGAAGGAGAAAGGATTTAAAAGGAAAATGCCTTTTTCCTCTCACCCTTCTCTATGGTTATGCATTGGCTGAGACAGGGCTTGTGCATCCCACTCAAGAGAACTGGGAATTCTCATTAAAGCCCATTAGACCTTCAGGCTGCATAACTCCCTCACAGCCTTGGATGGTACCGAGTGCTCCAACATCCTCGGACAGCGCAGAGCAAAGGGGCAGCAGTGAGAGCGCTGTGGGATGGGGGACATGGGGCTGACCCCTCCCGAGGGGCTGCAGCAGGAACGCACTGCCTCTTTATGGCCGGCAGAGGATTCCTGTCATGAGGTTGGCCTTTAGGGGCACTTTAGGGACACGAGGCACTCAAGGGACCAGGCCCGCTGCCAGCCCACCATCTGAGCCAGCGTGTGCCCAGCTGGGCAAGGAGGACAATGGCATCCTGGATTGTATCAGGAACAGTGTGAGCAGCAGGACCACGGCAGTGACTGTCCTTTGGTACTCAGTGGTGCAGTCACAACCTCACTGCTGTGCCCAGTGCTGTGCCCAGTTCTGGGCCCCTCAATTCCAGAAGGACATGGAAGTGCTGGAGCATATCCAGAGAAGGGCAACAGAGCTGGGGAAGGGTCTGGAGCACCAGGAGCAGCTGAGGTTGCTGGAGGTGCTCAGTATGGAGAAAAGGACATCCAAGGGGGACCTTGTAGCTTTCTACAACTCTCTGAAAGGAGGTTGTAGCCAGGTGAGAGTCGGTCTTCTCTCCAAGGAAACCAGCGACAGGATGAGAGGAAATGACCTTTAGCTATGCCAGGGGAGGTTTAGATTTGACATCAGGAAGTTTTTCAGAGAAAGGCTGATTAGAGATTGGAATGGGCTGCTGGGGCAGCGGTGGGGTCACGGTCCCGGGAGGTGTGTGAGGAAAGACCGCAGCTCTGAGGGCGCTGTCCGCTGACGGCCCGACCCCGCCGGCCCTGGGCTCTCCCCAGCCCAATGGACCCCCCGGCAGCCCCCGGGGCGGGGCTGCGCATGCGCCCCCTCGCGCGGCCCCGCCCCCTGCCCGGCGGGCGGCGCTGCCGCGGGCGCGCGCAGGAACATGGAGGCGGCGGCGCGGGAGAGCCGGGCGCGCCGGGCGGCGGGTGCGGGGCGGTAGCGGCTCCCGGCCGCCCTCCCTCCCTCCCCTCAGCCCTCCCTTCCTTCGCTCCCGCCCCCTCCGCTCCTCCAGCGGCGGGAGAGGCGGCCCGCCTGCCCCCCCCCCGCGCAGGGCATGGCGGCCCCGGGCCCTCCGCGGCTGCCCCAGCTGCGGCTGGGCCCGCGGCTGCGGGCCGGGCTGGAGGTCGCGCTGCGGGTGCCGAGCCTGTTCCTCATCGACGCCATCTTCAACTCGGCCCCGCTGCCGGGCGGCTCCGTGAGCGCCACGCTGCTGGGCGCGCTGCTGCGGCTGCTGGGTGAGACACCTTCCCTTCCTCCCCCTCCCGAGGGACACGCACCGTGCCCCGCCGGCCCCTCGCACCGCCGCGGGCACGGCACGGCCGCCCTGCTCCTCGCCCCTCACCCGCCTCCTGGCTGCTGCTGCTGTCGCGGCCCGTCTCTCCCCATCCCCTTCCCTGATTCTCGTCCCCTCGGCTCCTCTCTGCCATCCCCGAGCCCCTGCTCGGCCGCCCAGGCTGGATCATCACCTCGCCCCCTCGTGCCCCGCTCCGGCCCCGGGGTCCCCCCGATCTCTCCTCGGTTCCTTCCTCCTGTCCCCGTAGCAGTGCAAGGACCCGGGGCTGTGACCACCCCCCTCCTACTCTGGGGGCTTCCAAGGCGGAAGACATGTGACTTAGTGGGTATAGGGTTTTCTTGTGTTTTTTTAAAAACCCTTTGGATAGTCTGATGTTGAAATACGCTGTTAACGCCTTATTTTAGCAACAGCAGTTCAGAAATGCCGGGAATTTGGTTCCCAGAGGAAAGAGAATCCTCTTGAAACTTGCCAATGCTTATTTTCAAGCTCTTATTTTCCTTCCCCTGCATGAAGGATGAAAGTCACTGGTATAACTAGGCGATGCTGTTTTCAAGATCGTTAATTTGGGTTCTTACATAGCCTCGGCTTGGTGAGAGTCCCGTTCATGAACTGCTGTATAGGTGATACTGTGCTGTGTGTCACGATTTGGAGCTGATGATCCTGAGGCAGGAAGGCGAACAGAAAACAAATCAAGCTGTTGTTTGGATTTTATTTGGGTTTTTTTGCAGGCCTGAGAGAGATGGAGTTTAGATTTTATTTGACATTTATAGTAGAAGAAAAACAGGAAGGAAATAGGCGGTACAGCTTTTGGGGCAGGAAGCAGAGAAGAGAGGGTTAAAGGAAATGTGCACCGTGAGAAGTGTGTGACTGCATCACACAAGTCGAGGAGCAGAGGGGGGAAAAGTAAAAAATAACCTACATCAGACAGCAGGTGAGAGGAGAGCAAAGGGAGGAGGTAACAAAATGCAGCAGGTGTTTTGTTTTGTTTTTTTTTACATTTATTATATTTTTTATGCTTATATTACTGCTTTGGTTAAGGGTGCCAGGGGAAGTCTCTGCTCATATGAGAAGTGATGCTGAGGAGGCCCTGAGTTTGCCTGCCGTGGCACGAGTATCATCAGCATCCCCCAGGGACCGGGAGCAGGAATTCTTCCTCCCTGCTTCCCATTTTCTTGACCTTCTGTTCAACACTTACACAATTGCTAAGAGTGATAATTCCTTTTTTAAAAAATGAAATTGCAGTGTCTCACCAACTTAATTTTAGGAGTCCTTCATCATATGATCCAGATGCTGTAAGAAGAGCATTGAAATTAATTCTACCTGTGTAAATGAGAGTGGTGGCTGTGTTGTTCAGTGATGTCCCTTAAGTGTGTGGTATTGGGATTAACAGATGAAGCCACTTTTGAGGTTTGCATTTATATGAACACTTTTCTGAAAGGAGTTGGGGGAAGAAATGGGTAATTTTTGCCTTCTGCAAAAATGCTTTGGGAATGTTTTATGCCAAGAAACTTATCTTGAACATTTAGAAAAGGGGTCTGTGGCTCTTGGCTTTCCAAAATTGAAGATTAAAATGTAGGTACCTAAAGATGATCTTAAACACCTTCCATGAGGTTCAGACAACAGAGTGCTTTTACAGCTGTTTTTTCTCATCTGAATTTAAGGATTTCAGGGTTGGGTTTTTGCTGCTGTTAGGAAAGTGATATAGTTATTTTGGAGTATTCTGTATTTAAACAGTGCAAAAATGTCCTTTTATTTACCATTTGCAGATTTTGAAGTACTGATCCAAACTTTTTCTGTAGCACAACAACAACAACCTGTCCACTAGATACAAAGATTAAAGCTCTGGAGAGATTGATGATTTTGGGGGTGATGTTAAACAGTTCTGAAATAATCTGGGAGTACAGCTCTTGAGGAATGCTAATAGAGATCTGCGTGGGTGTTACAAAGATTTACAGCAGGATTCCTTGATCTGATTCTTCCATCACTTTCTACACAAGTAGGTAGAGTTATACACGGCACAGAACCAACTTCCACAGCTGGAGCATGTTTTCTCATTCATGTTTTTGATTAACCTTGCTTTGTCCCCAACACAGTGTTTACCTTTCGTATCTTTGCACTGGGTTTAAGTATCTCAATTCCAGCAGAACCACCACCCCCAGGAGTGTGTGACTGGCACCTCAGGCAGCAGTCCCTCCTCAGTGAGGACACTGAGTTTTGAGAAGGGTGCTATAAATACTTGAGTCTGCAGAAAGATGTGGAAGTAAACAGAATGACTGGAGCTAGGGAAAAATAGTTTGGCAGTTCCACATGAATGAAATGCTGAATGTGTAAAAGTGATTGTCCCCTGCATGTGATTGAAAGTCGAATCCTAAGTAGCAGGCTGCTATAAAGATACTGACAAATTTCAGGATTTAAGGGGAAAAATGAGAAGAGACATTCAATGTAACACAAGAAATTATGGTTTGGTTCAGTGCTGTGTTTGGAGGCCATATTGGGACAGTTTGCAATGGGGTGGCACAGGTAGAAACAGTAAAGATGAGTAGGAGGGACAAACCTTATCAAAGGAGGAACTGCAGCATTTCCTAGCAGAGGGAAAAGGGAAAAAGACTTACTGTTTTGGAGGGCAAAAGGGGTGGGCACAGGGCAGGACAGTCTTCTCATGTTGAGATGGACTAAGTGACATTAATGGAGATGGGGAAATGGAGTGCTCACTGCCCCGTCTGAGACCTTTTACCTCTTAGGGTCTTTCGAGATTCCTTCAATGAGTCTTGACTTTTCCCCATAAGTGTTAACAGAGAAATGCTGTACTTTTTGTTAGTCCCTCTGCAGAGGAACCAGTAGGACAAGCTCTATTGACTCACTGTTGTACTGTTTTTAGAGATGTGTCTTGCATGTGAAACGTCAGTGCTTTAAGATGACCTGCAGTATCTAAATACAGGCCTGTTACTGCCACTGCAAGGCACAAAAATAGGTTTTGTTAAGGCGTGTTTCAGAGCAGCCTGCTTACTGCAAAATGCATCTCCTTTAGCTCAAATGATCAGAATTACATAAATAATGACCTTGTACAGGCATGTGAGCCTTTTCTGTGACTTAAAGACAAAGGCTACAAACTCGTCAGCAGTATTGGCTTTCCTAAAGATGTTTCTGGTGGTTAAAATGACAAGGAGACTGTCAAGCTTATTTTGTAAAAAGTGCTGTATGTAACCAGTATTCTTTCAGCTTTTCCTGGAAGAACTGCAAATGCAAGGGGCTTTCTGAAAACTGATAGAGGCTTTTCCTCCGTCCACTTCACAAGGTTACCAGGTTAATGATTAGTTAAGGAGAATGTGTTTATATCAGCCAGTGCTACTGGCAAGGAATATTGTTCGGGCGTATTAATAACTTTATTTGTAGCCTGCTTTTGCACTTGATTCCTGTTGATCCTCTCCCTTCTGAGTCCTCCAGGCTTTGGAGGTTTGTTGTTTTTTTTTTATATTTGTGTGTGTTTCGTTGTTGTTGTTTTTCTTTTCTTTACACAAGCAGTGGTCACACTATTGGTAGAATCAAATGTTATTTCAAAGATTTTATTCTCGTGATCGAGAGACTATGGCTTCATTTTTTTTTTTAAACACTTGTTTATGGCAGATTTAGAACAACCTAAACTACAATTGTCAGGAAAGACCGATGCTGTCCTCCAGCAGAAAGAGGACTGTTGATGATTTCATTTGTTTTAGTACAGAGATTGAAAGCAACTTAGAATAAAATAGAAGTTGTAGGGATCGAAATCTCTCCAAAGTGGTGTGGATGAGAAATCAGTTGCATAGACTGGAAGCTGATTGAGAAGTCCAAAACAAAGGCAGTGTGCTTCCTGAAAAAGAAACTGTTTAAGGAAAATAATCTAGTGCTAAGTGCTATTTAATTTGACACCTCTTAGGGCAGAGCCCTTACCTATGTAGTGCACAGTGATGGAATTCATAAATTGCACTACAGAAGTTTACTGCAGGGATGTAATCCCGAACTCCCAACTGAAGTTGCTCTGATAGGATTTCTCATAGGAAGGTGGAGACTTTGCAGGCATGGTCAATATGAGGGAGAGGTTAGCAAACAGGAATTTCAAAATCTGACTTCTAACAAGACAGACAAGTTTGCACTGGCAAAGAGGCAATTGGTGCAGTTTTCGATTCTGTGCACAAAAGATCTAAACTGTGGAAGATCTTCCTCATGTGACGTTTGTCATCACTGTCACCAGGAATAAAAACAAACTGAAGGGAAATAGGATTGCCTTCCCCACAACAAACAAAAGCAATTTTTCACTGTTTTCTCATTAAAAGAGTTTAGTTAAAGTGTTTTGGTTACTTACCTTTAGTACTCCAGCTTGGACAGCTGTAGTTGAATACCTTGTTCAAGCGAATCAGTGGACTTACTAAATTGTACTACTTTATTCTTTATTAGCTTTGCTGATAAAGGTGATGTTAAGATGATGCTTATAAAGGTGATCTGTTGGGGGTTTTTTTATTTATTTTTAGAACTTGTCTAACCTTGGATTTCAGGACTAAGGCTGAAAGGCAGGGTGTTGTCACTGTTCTAGTCTAAAACTGCAACGAACTCCATAGTAATTGTGATTTCGGTCTTGCAGTGGCTTTGCATCACAGCTGTAGCACACAGATGTTAGATGCAGAGATTAACTTGTCCTCTTGCCCTTTCTCTGAAAAGGACACAATGCAAAGCTACAAGTGACTAACGGGGAAGTGATACATTAAATAAATTTAGCTCCAAAGCTAATCAGTTAAAATCTGTTGTTGAACTTCTGCTGAGAACTAAATGATTTCAATCTGATTTTAGGTGTCTTTGTATCCAGCGTTGTTCTGGTCCTACAACAGCGAGCACTTTTCAAGTTCTACATGATCGCCTCAGCGTTTCTGCTGGCTGCAACTTCAGTGTTGGTGAATTACTATGCTGCTTTGCACATAAACTTCCACAGTGCCTACTACACACCTGTATTTGGAATTCAGATCTTCCTACAAAAAGGACCTTCGCTATGGATGGCACTTTCCATCCTTCAGCTTACCTTTGGAATCGGATATGTTACACTGCTAAACATGCAGTCCATATACTCTCAACTCATCATCCTGGATATACTGATTCCTGTAATTGGCTTGATTGTTGAATTACCTTTAAATGTCCGGCAAGTACTTGTTTTTATTTCAGGCCTAGTTCTGACACTAAATACTACAGCCATTTTAGTTACGAAAATTAAGTGGTTCTATTATTCGGTACGATACGTTTATCTGCTGGTGAGGCACATGTATCGTATTTATGGATTACAGCTATTGATGGAAGATACATGGAAAAGGATTCGGTTTCCAGCTGTACTACGTGTCTTTTGGCTAACAAGACTTACAGCACAAGCTGTTGTATTAACGTATGTCGTAAAGATGGCTGAAAACAACACGGAAGAAAAATTCTTCTTAATATCGTGGGATAACTGTTGGGAACTGATTTGCAGCCTGATCATCAGTGGGTGTGACTCTACTTTAACTGTGCTGGGCATGAGTGCTGTCATTTCCTCAATAGCGCATTATTTGGGACTTGGTATCCTGGCCTTCATTGGATCAACTGATGAGGATGACAAAAGGCTTGGGTTTGTAGCACCCGTCTTGTTTTTCATTTTGGCTCTGCAGACTGGTTTAAGTGGGCTGAAACCAGAGGAACGATTAGTTCGCCTGAGTCGAAACATGTGCCTTTTGTTGACTGCAGTCCTGCATTTTATCCATGGAATGACAGACCCCGTGCTGATGTCTCTCAGTGCCTCCCATGTGTCATCATTCCGCAGACACTTTCCTGTACTGTTTGTCTCTGCTTGCCTTTTCATTCTTCCAGTTCTGCTCAGTTACATCCTCTGGCACCACTATGCACTAAATACTTGGCTTTTTGCAGTCACAGCATTCTGTGTAGAGCTTTGCCTAAAAGTAATAGTTTCTATCACTGTTTATATATTGTTTATGATTGATGGCTACTATAATGTGCTATGGGAAAAACTTGATGATTATGTTTATTATGTTCGCTCAACTGGCAATATTATTGAGTTTATATTTGGAGTAATCATGTTTGGAAATGGAGCTTACACAATGGTTTTTGAATCGGGAAGCAAGATTCGCGCTTGCATGATGTGTCTGCACGCGTACTTCAACATCTACCTGCAAGCCAAGAATGGCTGGAAGACTTTTATAAACCGCCGGACTGCTGTGAAGAAAATCAACTCGCTTCCAGAGGTAAAAGGGGCTCGGTTACATGAAATTGACGATGTCTGTGCAATCTGCTACCACGAGTTCACCACCTCTGCACGCATTACTCCGTGCAACCATTACTTTCACGCACTTTGTCTTCGGAAGTGGCTGTACATTCAGGACACATGCCCGATGTGCCATCAGAAAGTGTATATTGAGGACAAAGAAAATGCCAGTATCTCTAACAACAACGGGTTTGTAGCACCAAATGAAAATCCTGTACGGGTTGCAGAAGAAGCTGCTGATGCTGAAAATGAATTAAATGAAGATAATGACAGTTCTGATAGTGACGAGGAAGATGATGACTGTGTGGCACAGCACTTGAATGAGACTCTTAATGTTGACTCTAACTCTCTTGGTGATTAGGAAGTCCTTTACTAAGCCGTGAGGTATTTGTTCAAGATTGACTTCAGCAGAATAAAAGTATCACTTTGTAGTTATTGTACTTAAGCACAACAGCAGTATCTCAATGTTGAGTCTGTGAATGGTGGTTGTTTACTGTGGTGTGTGCTACTGTAAATATACCTCTAATTTTTGCTGGTCTTTTTCATGACCACCTTAAAATTATGTACATTATTGTACATGGAATAAAATGTTTTCACGTTTTTAAGATGGTGGGAAAAACACTCTTTAATTGATGTAGTGATAATGCTGTGCCAAAGACTGTATACCAGTAATCCCCAATCAATGTCTTCTCGATGCAAATGAAAAATACTGGTGAAAACAGACTGTTCAGCCCGTCAACTCAGAAATGAAAGCCTGAGCCAAAGCAGCTTTACTTACAAATTCAGTATTAGCAGAGCTTTATTGCAAAAAACTAGTGAGTTGTGTTTTTAAAAAATAAATAAAAATTTAGGTTGGTAGACTTAATGCTATAGCATTTGCATATGTGCAACAAAAGGCGACACTGCTCAGCTTTCTGGTGAAGCAGCAAAGCGCATGCCATGGATGTGTCCCACCCTCCTGAACTGCCAGCAATAGCTTGAAGTGCTTTACATGTGAATGCAGCAGCCTGATGCTCATCCTGGGCCTCCACTGCTAACTGGAGTTACAGGCATGGGCTGGCCTTGAAGTCGATCCTTGAATCTTGACGAAAGGGGAACAGGGCTGACAAACTGCACAAATGCAGACCACCTTTTCAAAAGCAGCTTTAATCTTGTACCATAAAAAAACCCAAACCCACTACACATTGGCTTCCACTGATTAGAACTTGCAGGTATGATGATTTTAAAGTTTTTGCAATATATTTACTGAAGTTATGCTGAATAAATGTAAGAAAAACAACTTTACATATTTGGAAAGAAGACTTTAATGGTGTTGTTATATAGAGTGTTGGCCAACTCAAGTGGGTCATCTTCTCTTACTGCTGCCATTATTTCCAGTATTTGACTAAAAAAAGAAAGATTTATATTACAAGGCTGAAACCCAGTACTTCAGAATGTACTTCAGAATGCTGCATGTGTATGTACAAGTCACTAAGATTAAGCTGGAATAAAAACCTACACTAAGAGCAATAGGGCAGGGTGCTCAGATATGCAAATAGCTTCTACTTTTAAGTTACTGCCATTTCCTTTACACTGAACACTGGTTTGCTCACTGGTACAGATTCATCTTTGGTCTTTTGACTCTTGTTTGGAGGTAATTAAACAGCTTTCTGTTTGAAGGAAGTGTCATTTTGTGGGTGTCTTTATCAATGATCTTCATTTTTCAAACAAAAACTCATTAGCCTGTCAAGGCTAAAGCTGTACTATGAATAGACTGATCTATGGTAAAGCCTAAATTCCAGATACAGCTTTATCAGAGCACAGCGTTGCCAAAGTAACTTACTTGTACTTCCCTGTTCTTTAGTTTAATTCTGATTAATGTGGTCAGGTATTTGCAGTAAATATTAAATGATCAATTTCAAAAGGCCCAGGGCCTTCATACAAGCTAGGAAGAGGAAGCAAAAGAAATGGGATGGACATGATTAAAACTAAGCCACAACCTCTCTGGAATTGCTTTCTTGATTCTTTAAAAGAAAAATATTCTGAACCCTTCCTGAGATGTGCTATACTTCGATTTTTCCAGTAGCAGCAAAAAACTTCAAGCTTCACCATGACAAGTAAGAAGCTTAAGTTTGGTGGCAGGGTTTGGTGGGCTTTGGATTTTGCCGCTATACTGAAGCAATGGCTAAACTTCTTTTTGTGAAAGCATAGGAAAAGTTGTTCTTAATAATTACTTTATTGCAAATATTTTCCTAGATGCAGAATTAGCCAGCTTCTTGATTTAAGATGATATTCCAGATGAGATAGGGTGAGATCAGGCCTACACAGAAATAAGTAACAAATACCAAAGAATTTCACCCAAGAAGACTTAGGGACTTATCCCTCCTCACCTGGATACAGCAGAAAGCTGAAACACTGTGTATGAAGGAGAAAAGTCTCTTGTGGCTGATTTTTTTAAAAAATAGCTTCCACAGGGAGTAGTTCTAAATATATATATATGAAGCAGTAATATCACCATCAAACCTGAAAGGTGTCCAGCACCACCAACATCAAATTGAAAACTCCTCCTGCCAATTGAGCTGTATTAGACAGTATATATACCCTAAACATTAAAAACACTTTGTTGACTGAATAACATTCCTTCACACCAGATTTTGCTGCTTGAGGAGTCACAAAATACCAATTATCAGTTACCATTCTTCATTTTTCTTAAGGTTTATGAGGTTCTTGAAATTCAAATGGTTATAATGAACATTATTGGGATGATAATTTCAAAATAAGGTTGAGCCAAACAAGAATTTTTTTCATAAAAGAAGGCAAAAGCCAAAGTACAGCATTTGTGTAATGATCTTGAGTGCATCTGTGCACTCTGCATCTGTGCAGGACAGACTGCATTTCAAGTCTGGGGGTTTCTGAAACATTTCTGTAAATTAAGGCAGCAGACAAATATGTGGGGGTGTTGTTGACATATGGGCTGGTTGAAATAGTAACAGTAGAGGCCCTTCACTTGTGATCAGAAGAGTATTTTCAATTGATCTCTTCCCCCACTCCAAAATCATGGACTGACCCTAGAAAGTCTTAGAATACTGAAGGAACCCTTCTGTGCTAATGTAATTGTGCTAAAAGAAAAAAATGAGTATTACAATTGACCTAATTGCATTAAATATATCTGAACACTAGGAGATGTCACCATGTAAGCTTAAACTGTGCTTTTACATCATCAGTGGTTTTCCAAGTTCCTTCATGTCTCAAAAAGCAGCAGAATTCCCTTCACTTCTCAAATAAACTCTTGTTTAGACATCTTGCTGCATACCTGGATCTTTAGTACTATCATGAGCAGTACTTCAAAATCTAGACAGGGAATTCTGAAAATTCAGCATTTCATCTGTTAATGGTATTTAATGCAGATAACTAAACATTTTCACTAAAACAATTGCACATTTTCCCGCTTTTCACACTTCTGTGAGGAACTGTGTGAAAAGGAGGCAGAAAACAATGTCTGCTTACCAATTCTGTCCATAAGCCCCTGGAGTTTTCTTTCACTACTCTGTATCTTGGCTGCTGTCATTGATATCTGAATTTCAAAGGATCAGATTCTTTGAAGCACAACAGCAGAAGGAAGAAACATCCCTGACAAAATGCATATTGTGGCAGTTCATGTCACAGGCACTGCTGGTGCCTTGGTACTGTCCCACCTGTGGGACTGTCCCCTGATCCCCAGGGCTGGATCAGTTTTTAAAATTACCTGAACAACAAGTGAAATGAATATTCAAGTCAGGTTACTTTAGAGGGTTTAACCTCTTCTACAATGTATCAAGTGAAAAAATAAAAACAGTACTAGTTTCACTTTCAGGGAGCATTCTACATCTAGAATTGCTGAAGTAGGAAAATTAAGACTTCTAATTTTTTCCACAGCCTATAAAGCAAAACCTTACACAAGTTTCAGTACATTTAGAATTAATTTCTATTTTTTACATTACTAGTGAATTGGGATTTTTCTATTATTTTTTCACGTCAGATTGAAGTATTTAAAATAAGAGTACAGTGGTACACACTTACATTATATGGCAGGGTTCATTTCTGTCCTTCAAGCAGTGCCCTTTTTCCCATTTCTTTTTTGTAGGAAATGTAGTTTTAATGTATTTTGATCCAGCATGAGTATTTTTCACTCCACACCAAGGTGCATCTAGTTTAATTTGAATAAAAGAATTAGGCGTGCAATTGAGAATAGCATGAGATAGTTGAATCAGCTACTTCTACAGACAAAAGTTCCTGCAATCTCTAGCAGTGACCTCTAACTCAAAAGGAAATTTAAGAGATCTGGGCCATTTAACATCTTGGATTTTTATACCATTATCTTCAGGATGTTACACTTGAAAAAAATCAGCAATATATAACACTAATTTCCTCTGACATGATAAAGACAACCAGATACACTGCAAACATTCCACAGAAACTTCCTGTGTAACAGGTCTGTACTTCATGTGCAAATAAATTTAAGGACTTAGCAGTTCGCAATTTTCCTTTCTCAGAGTCAGGAATGAAAACAAATACTATATTTGTAACTGTGAGTTATTGGTATCTGAACATGAAAAAAGATAACATCCCTATTCAGTCCATTACAATGACTGCTCAGTGGCCTAAGAGCCACTACGAGGGGAATTCAAGATTCTTCCACCTATATTCCATTTAAAGAGCAGTTGTTTCCAAATGCTGTTACTGCTGCCGGTGGCTAACTCACAGCCATTGCCCTGTGCTTGGCACATCTCCAGCAAGCCACATTTTAAAAGATTCTCAAGCAGGATTCTGGTGCATTTAAAAATCTGAGTTGTCAATTTGTCCTTTTCATCTTCCCCTGCAATGTCAGGAACTGACACAGCAGCTTATTCCTTCCAGCAGAAGGCTGGAAAGGAGTAGTTCTGTAAACTGCTTTCTCAAGTAGAGAAAACAGCCACTGTTCTGAATTCTTTAGGTCTTGATTCTGCTTTATGATTGTTACACCAGTATATCTCATTGCCCATTGTCATAAACTGACCAAGATACAAAATCTTACCAGTCTCTATCATTAATCGTTCACTAGGAATTGATTTCAGTGTTTCCAAGTTGGCTTCTGTTTTCAGTGAACTAGAAAATTTAGAGTTTGGTTAAAAAAAAACAAAACATAAAAAGTGTATAAAAGTAATTACTGTGCCTGTTATATTGTTTTGTAGCAAAAGCAGCTTCCTCAATAATTTTGTTCATGAATAAAATTTGCTTCCTTTTTTAACAATACTGCCTGTAAATTAAAACTGTGCAGAAAACAGCAAATTGAGAGCTAGTGGGAAAAACCATCTCACCCCAGTAAGCTGCAGAACCCCTCTGGCTGCCCTTGCTTGCCTGGTGACAGCCTCTGTGCCTTACAAAGTGGTGCTGGCTGGCATTTGGCCAGGTGACTGCTGAGAATGCAGACTGCATAACCAGGAGATGAGGCACTCAGGTTACATTTGCATTACTCCAGCATTTGACAGGCAGCTTAAAGTCAGGCTGTTTTTTAAATGCTCCTCAGAAGGAATCTTTCCATGCTCAACAACCTTATTTAATTACAAACAAGGATTGTCCTGAGGGTAGTAGAGTGGACATGGATTAGCTCACTGAGCTGCACAGCAAGAGCTTTGATGGCTAACAGACTGATGAGAGCAATTCTAAATCTGTCAGATGATTAAGGATCTAGTGAGCTTTGAAAACGTGACCTCATTGTTTAAAAGAGCAATGAGTTCACTACAGCTGCCATTTAAAAGCAGTTATATTTCTTGTAAAGAACTTACCAGCCATTTATTCCAATATAAAGATCCAAATCTATTAGAGCTGCTGCTTGTTCCTTTGTGCCATCAAAAGAATGTACCTAGAACACATATAGATACACAGACATACAAAAATACAAATGTACTTTTATTAAAAATCCAATCATTCAAAAGTATGTATTAACTTTTATTAGCATCAAATACCTTCAACAATATGCCTCACACATCATTACAAACATCAATATGGGACATGGCTCAGTTGATTTTGAATTTGAGCAAAGTTCAGGCTGAAGTCACCTGAATGCAGTAGAAGTGGTTACCACACCTTAACAGTGACACGTATGTGTAGGAGAGACCTATGCAGTGATACTCTTTTGGCCCTGGAGCCCCCTGTAACTGATAACTGGGAGATCATACTCAGGAAATAATCCTGTGCATGCTGAATTTTTAGATTATTTCCTCAGTATTCTGTTCAGGGCACTATCAGGGCCACCACAAGAGCAGCATTCTGTTCTGCACAGATATTAGTCCACTGGAACTAGCAAGACAGTCTGCTTGGTCATTCCACGGACTTAGTCATTCCAGAGAGGAAAGTGGAGGATCACAAGTTACACAGTGTAATGCTGGGAACTGCATCTTCTCAGCCTGAGTGGAGTAAAGAGACTGTCTGCTCTGCCTCCCCGTGCTGTGACCAGGGACAGGCAGTTGCAGAAGATGCCTGCTAATTTCTCCCCTCTTTCCTGGCTGTGCAGGAAAAAAGAAAGGAAGGAAAGCAGAGCCATCATAGCATTACACAGGAGCAGAACATGCAAAGCACTGAGCATGGGGAAGGGTTTTGTGGTAACAAGGACAAACCTGGGATCTGCATTATTCTTGTAGGAGGTGTGGTCTCATGTTAGAATC